AGGGGTCAGCCTGCGACGAGCAGCCGGGGAAGGGGGTGGGAACCAACCTTTTTCCTGCCCGGCGACAGACACGTGAGTTTTCTTTATCCGGAGCTCTCGTCCCCCCGGGGTGGCGGGCCCGCGGGGCAGCTGTCGTGCGGAGTGTGGCGCGGGAAGGGGGCCGGGGGTGCAGGCGCCCCGAGCGCCGGCCGACTCCTCGCCGCCCCGGGAGCCATGTGCTCCGACTCGGCCGGGCCGCGGGGGCGGCTGCGCGCTTTGTGTGAGCTGCTGGGAACGCGAGCGTGTGTGCGCGCCCGGGAGAGTGTCGGGGCCGGGCAGTCGTCGTCAGAAAGTTCGTGCGGGAGTGGCTGCAGGTGGCGTCGTGGGCGTGTGGGGGGTGCACGGAGTGCTGCGTCGAGGGGTGCTGCCTCAGGCCAGCGAGGGCAAGAAGGAGGGCTGATGCGATGACGTCCGAGAGTTCTCCCTGTCGGCGAGGTCGGGGTGGGCGGGCACAGGAGTTGGGCTGGTTGCGTGGGTCACAGTTACTCGGGCTGGGCGTGGGGTTTGACTGCACCGAGTCTGTCGGTTGAAACAAGGGCCTTGAGGACTAGAGAGGTGGTTGGTGCCTTGTGTTCGAGTTGCGTGTGAGTGGCGGGGTGTTCTGGGTGCAGTGTGGGGCGTACATGAGGGAAACATCCCGGGCCATAGGCGGGTCTGAGGTGCAGGACTCCGAGGTGGGGAAGAATCCATGTAGGTGGAGGGGTCATCTCCGGGGTCCACCCCGAACCCCACTGACTGAGACTTGGCTGGCAGCCAGGGTGGAATTTGTGCAGATAACCTCAGGTAAACGCCTCACAGCCTGCCAGGCTGCATCTCTGAGTCCGGATTCCCAGCTGCCAGGGCTGCCTGGAAATGTGACCTCAGAAAGCAGCCTGCTGGTCGTGCCCCCTGGGGAGTGGCACCTCTAACCAGTGCCTGTCTCACCTCCAGGTGGCCTGGCTGAAAGAGTAGACCCTTCCCTCGAAAGCCTGGCCTAGTCGGCCAGGGATCTGGGCTCAGGCCCAAGGAGAGGAAACGAAACCTGGAATTGCCGAAGTCTGCTGGCTAGTCCGCCAGAGCGGGTACAGGCTTGGGGGGGGAGGTGCGGGGCTTGAGATTCTGCCATCAGTTTGGCCTAGAACTTTGCTGTTAACATGTAAATGCTCTTGCATGTATGAACAAGAACTCTGTCAAGGGCATGAGCAGCTGAGTTGGGTTATTAGGGAAAATCTCCCTTCGTTGGGCAGGTAGAGAGGGGAGGACCCTTGCCCAGGGTCACAGCACCAACTGGAGGAGGGGTAGACACCAGAGCCTGGCCTTACTCTTTGCTCTGGATCTTAAGGGGCTGAGTCTAGGACTAGGGCAAGGGCCTGGCAGAGAAGAATGTCCACCAGGCGGCCAGTACAGCCAACGTCCCACTCTCTGCAAGGCACCCGCAAGGGCTCCGTAAATGTCACATGGCTGCTACAGCACTCCTCCCTAGGCCTTGGGAGAGCTGGGAGGCGAGATGGTATAAAGTCTCTTGGGGGACAGCGAACTACCTGAGTCCAGATCCTACTTTGATATCCTGTCCTGGGAGTGAAACTTTTTTCCCATACAGCTTTGTTGAGATATAAATTGCATACCATACAATTCTCCCATTTTACGTATACATGTCATTGACTGCTGTGATTACGCACCTGTAGTCTCGGCTACTTGAGAGACTGAGGAGGAAGGATTGCTTATATCCAAGAGGTTGAGGCTGTGGTAAGCTGTGATTGTGCCACTGCACTCCAGGCTGGGTGACAGAGTGAGACCCAATTCCAAATAAGTACATATATCAGTGGTTTTTAGTATATTAACTGTGTGCAACCATCACTATAGTCAATTTTAGAACATTTTTATCACCTCAGAAAGAAACCCCACACACTTTAGCTACCACCCAGCCCTAACCAACTGCTAACCTACTTTCTGTCTCTACATTCTGGACATTCATGATAGATGGCCTCATGCTATGTGGTCTTTGTGACTGACTTCTTTCCCTTAGCATAATGCTTTCCAGATCCTTCTATATCGTAGCACGTCAGGACTTCACTCCTTTTTATGGTCAAGTAATATTCCATGGTGGATGTAGGCTGCAGTTTTTTAGTCCATTCATCTGTTGATGGACAACTGGTTGTTTCCATATTTTGCCTATTGTAAATAGTGCTGCTATGAACGTTTGTGTACAAGGTTTTGTGTGGCCATAGGTTTTCATTTCTCTTGGGTAGATACCTGGGCATGAAACTGCTGGTCTTGGGTGGCTTTCTTAATCTCTCCCTGTTTCCTCATCTACAAAGTGACGATAACTGTTTGTCCTTATAAGGGGCTTGTGAGGACTCCATGAGATAACACATGTGAAGTGCTTGATACAGAGCATAGGGAACAGACCTCAGTGGTAGCTGCAGTTACTTCTCATCCTGGTCCTGCTTGTGAATGTGTTTCCTTAGTTACCTGCCGGCTCCGCGCCTGGAGACATGTTGGACTTGGCCTTCTAGCTTGCTCAACCAATGGTATGGCCTGAAACTTTGAATTGCAACTCCCCTGTTTCTGGTATCCCAGGCTGTAGTAATGCTGAGCGTGTTTGGAGACCAGGAACAGGGTAAGAGGCAGCACACGGTGACGCTGTCTCCATCCCATGTCACTTGTCCCAGGGTTGCTGAGGTCCCGCCTAGCCCCCAGGCACCATGTCGGATAGTGATCTCGGTGAGGATGAGGGCCTTCTCTCCCTGGCGGGCAAGAGGAAGCGCAGGGGAAACCTGCCCAAGGAGTCGGTGAAGATCCTTCGGGACTGGCTGTACCTGCACCGCTACAATGCCTACCCCTCGGAGCAGGAGAAACTGAGCCTCTCCAGACAGACCAACCTGTCAGTGCTGCAGGTAAGCAGGGGATCTGGGTGGTGGGTGGCAGGAGACCCAGTTCTGGCTCTGTCCCAGCCCTGTCACTGACTCACTGTGTGGCCTCAAGCCAGTTGCCTCCCCTTTCTCGGCTTCTTGGGTCAGGGAAGAACACACTCTCCCTGCTTTAAGAGAAAACAATGAAACAAGGTCTGTGCCACTAGATTTCCAATTCTGGAGAGTTCTGAAGAGGCAAGAAATTCATAAATGCGATCCATGTCTAGGTGTCATTAGCCCTGGAGGTGTGAGAAGGTGAGGAGGCACCTAGGGTCTGGGATTGTGGGATTTGGCCCCCAGCCCCAGAGCAGTGTTTGGACAGAGATTTGGTTGCAGGGACAGCTGGTGGTCTGCAGTGTGGTTAAGAGAGGAGTTGGGATCACAGACTAGGAAAACGCAGAAGCCGGGGCTCTGGGCAGCAAGCCTGTTCTGCCACACCTTGATTTCCCCATCTGTAAAAGTGGGGGTCAGATTCGTCTCCTGCCTGATGGAAAACTATTGTGAGGAACAGATTCAGAGCTGGACGTGAACATGCTTTGCAAACCATGCACATGAGCACACTCAAAGACAGCGTGAGCCCCTTCCATCAGTGCGCAAAGTCTAGTCCCTTTCTCAGTCATCTGTGGGTATTTTTGTTCTGCTTTCATGGTTCCGAGCAGGGCACCTGGACCGCTGCGGCCTTGCCTCCAGCTGGACTCTTTTCCTCCAGGAGACACATGGTGGGGTCTCAGCCTAACGCTGGCCAGCCCCACTGGCCCCCACTGCTCCCTTCCTGAACCAACCAAGCCTCTTCCCCAAGGCCCCCTGCTTCCCTCCCCACCTCTTTTAAAATTCTGAGTCGTGGTCTCACTCTGTACACCCGGGCTGTAGTGCAGTGGTACAATCATACTTACTATAGCCGCAGCCTCCTGAGCAGCTGGGACTATGGGCACATGCCACCACACTGGCTAACTTTTCTTATTTTTAGTGTTTAACTATTATTTTTTCAGTTGGAGTCTCACTCTGTCACACAGGCGCTAACACGGCCACTGCAGCCTCTCTGTGATTCTCCTCAGCTTCCAAGTAGCTAGAACTACAGGCATGTGCCACCATGCCTGGCTTTTGGGTGGTTGATTGATTAGATTGATTGAAAAGAGCGGTCTCGCCAAGTTGTCCGGGCTGGTCTCAAATCTCTGGGCTCAGGGAATCCTTTCGCCTCTGACTCCCAAAGTGCTGGGATTACAGGCATGAACCACCATGCCTCACCAGTTTTTAAATTTTTTTGTAGAGGTGAGGTCTTGCTATGTTGCCCAGGCTGGTCTTGAACTCCTGGGCTCAGTCGATCCTCTCACCTCAACCTCCCAAAGTGCTAGGATGACAGCATGAGCTGCCCCCCATGTCCTCCTGTATCCCACGATTCCAGTCTGTGGTGCGAACCTTGTCCTCCTGCCCTTGCCCCACTCTGAACTTTCCACTTCCTCCAGCTCCTGCCTGTCCTTCATGAAGAGAAATGGGAAGCGTTTCAGCCCTCCATTCCTGTCGCCTGACCTTATGCTCTCTGGCAGTGGTTAATCCGAGTCTCCAGAGAAAGGGTCTAGAGTTCCAGCTCCTGACTTGTCTTGCCTCTTCCCCACAAGAGGAAACCTGGCCCTTGGCAGAGTCACTGCCTTCTCTCCGAGCCTCCTCATTTCCTCATCTGGAAAAAACCAGATGATGGCAGCATTTCACGGGCTTGTAGGAGAGGGACTCGAGAGAATCCAAGGCGGACTGGGTGGTTAAGGCACACAGTGGGCACTTCTGTTCCCGTTCTCATCCTCCTCTCCTCCCAGGTTGTAGTCTGAGCCTGGCTGCCTAGCAGTGTGTGGCATCCCCACCGTGTTTCCTGTGCAGAGTAGGGATCCCAGAGAGGAACCAGACACATTCTTCCCCTCGGGGAGTGTCCAGTCTGGGATGGCGGTAGCAGGGCAGACCTGGCCACGTATGTTTGCAAAAATGCTCTCCACTGGGACGGAAGGCAGGGCAGGAGAACCTGCAGTCTCAAGCATCCTCCCAGGAGAGTAGCTGTGAACCTGCGACTGTAGAGCTATTCCACCTCTCTGTTGGTCTCCCTGCCTTCAGCCTTGTTCCTCTAATCCACTCTTTGGAACACAAAAGCACAAATCTGATTGTGCCCCTGCTCTGTCCAAACTCCTCAAAAGCCCAGCAGTGCCATCTCAGCTCTTCCTGCCTCTGGTCCTTGAACCCTCAGGCCTCAAGGCCTCTTCCTTGCTCTGAACAGCTCAGGGGCAGCCCTGGCCCTACCTCACTGGCTCTCTCCACTTAAAGCATCTCTTTCTCATGAATGACGATTCTCTGATTATCAACCTGTGTGTGGGCCACTGCTTGTATTCCACCTCACACTACCTATCCTGTTAAGCCACTTGTCACACTACAGTGTGTATTGGAATTGGTTTTTGTCAGGACCACTGTTTCTCAGATCTGAGAAATGTACCATCTCCTTTTAAAAGAACGTATTTTTTTGTGGACCTGCCTCCCCCCAAGATATTAACTAGAATACTTTTTATTATCATAGCATTTATGTACAGTCATAAAACTGGAAAAAGAAAACTTGTTTTTGCTTTTACTCTTAGATGTGACTATAAAACCAGTTTCACAAAGTAGATACATGTAAAAACAATGAAATTCCATCTAACTGCATTACTTTGAAATGGTGGATGAGATTCTGCTGACTCAGCTGTGGTGTGTGTGACAAAGGCACTTAGTCTGGAGTCGAGTGGGTCTGGACTGCCACAGGGCATGATGTTCCTTGTGATCAAAAGGGCAAAAACACAAAGCCAAAGCATCCTTCTAGAGAACCAGGGGACCTCATGACGACGTATCCATGGGGGAGGCCAAGTCTAGGGTGCAGATCAGCCACTGGAGCTGTCCAAGGAAGGGCCAGCTTGACCTGGCATCCCCTGGAGGGAAGTCCACTGGTGGCCACCCTGCTCTAGAGTGAGACTGAGAGCTATGAGTAGTAGGGGACCATCTGCCCTCCTTGATGCCGTGATCCTGCAGCAGTCCCCACTGCATACTTCTCTGATAATGTCTCCAAACTGTGCCTTCTTCTCAGCTCCTCTGGTCAATCACCAGTTACTGTGCACACACCCCTTAAATATTTCTGGGGTATGGCTTCTTTCCCACCCTCGTCTAAGCCATCATTGTCTGATCACTTGCCACTCCCCTACTTAAAACCCTTCCAACCTAATGACAATATCACCTGCCTGCTGGGCCTCAGCCCTGGCACCCACACTCCCACCACACTGACCCACCATGCTAGACTGGTCCCCGCCCACCTCTGACCAGGGAGATTCCGGCCTCTGGTGGAGGAGCTGTGCACTTCTCAGCACCTGGATGGGGCAGAGCACTGTAACTGCTCTTTAGACCACGCTACATCCTGGTCTTGTTTATCTTGTGGCCCCAGTGTAGCTCTGTGCTTGGCGTCTGGCAGGTAGTGCTGTAGTACTTACTGAAATGGCTGTAAGGTGCTGGAAATGCAGGCGGGACCTCAGAAGCGGGGATGTGCAACATCTCTCGGGCCAAATGTGCTCAAGCTCCGGGAGGCAGCTCTCTTTCCTTTACTTAATTTTGAAAATTTTATTTTTTAGTAAGGACATGTTTAAATACCCACAAAAGCAAGATAATATAATGAGCCCCCAGCACCCATCACCTGGCTTCCACAAGCACCAACGTTTTGCCAGGCTTGTTTTATCTCTCCCTGGGGCATCTCCCTTGATTATCTCCCTTAACCCGCCCTGGAGCGATCTTATTAGCAAGTCAATGAGTCATTTAACCGGTTTGCTGGTGCTTGCCTGGGGCTAGGCAGTTGGGAGAGAAAGACAAAAATAATCTTTTGTGAAGGATTTTCACAGGTTCCTGTGACACCCTCTAAGTCCTGTTTATTGGCTGGACTAGATCTGTGTGGTTTTCTGACTGCTCTGTGGCCTAGGAGGCTTCTGAGCCCCTCTTCTTTGCTCCAACACTGATGGGGGTCCACTGCGTGCCAGGCATGGTAGAACAGGCACCACCTCCCCATTCTTTCATGGCTGTCAGGACTCCTTTCAAATGAGCTTCCTGGGAGAAGCCTTTCCAAAGCCTACACCGGGGCAGGGGCAGCAGCCCTCCAGTAGGGGCCTTGGGTGAGAAAGGAGCCTAGTGCAGAGACTGTGGTGGCCTGCCACTCTCCTCTCTGGCTCCAAAACTTCTTCCAGCTCCTCCCATGAGTAGCCTCTGTCTCATCTCAAGGCCTTTCATCTGTGTATATTTTTGAGCTTCTGTGTAAGCTTTTTCACTTAAATAAAGGACTTAAGCCAAGCGCAGTGACTCATGCCTGTAGTCCCAACACTCTGGGAGGCCGAGGCAAGAGGATTGCCTGAGCCCAGGGGTTTGAGACCAGCCTGGGGAACTTGGCAAGACGTTGTCTCTACAATAAATCAAAAAGTTAGCCTGGTGTGGTGGCACATGCCTTTAGTTCCAGCTATTTGGAAGGCTGAGGCAGAAGGGTCGCGGGAGTGCAGCAGGTTGAGGCTGCAGCAGCCATGAGCATGCCACTGCACTCCAGCCTCAAAAAAGGGGGCTTGGCCCACAAGGCAAGTCACATCAGTGGGTTCAGCCGTTGGTTCCTAAACCCGAGCAGCCATCCTCTGGGTGCATGTCTGTAAACACTTCTGACTCTGCCCCTCACCCCCACCGGATCTGTAGAGCAGATGAAAAACAGCAGTTTCACAGTTGAAAAAAGTCTCCCCTCATGGGGATTCTGATGCAGACAGCTGACTTTAAGAGCACCCGGATGGTGGTCACAGCGTGAACGGTGGTGCCGGGTGAGGGAAAGGCTCCTCTGCGCCTTCACTTCCTTCCCCACTTTTGCTCTTCCCGCAGCTGAAGACATGAACAGTAGCGTGCTCGGGCCTGCCTTCCGCGCCCTGCCCCCTCCTCATGCCTTTGCCAGCCTCCTAGTGCCCCTTTCGCCCCCTTTTGCCACAGTGATTCCTCCCTTGTCCTTCGTCTCTGCCACTGATAAAAAAACACCGTTGGGGCCGAAGCCTGTCGGACAGCCCTGTTCCGGGGAGACAGCCTGTGTTCTGCCACACAAATCAGAGCTCACCTTGGCCCTCTTCCTTCCTGCCACCTCCCCAAGGACCTTGAGTGGGGACAAGTCACAGGCTCTTCTCCTGACTTGGGCATGGGCAGGCCGTTGGAAGGGGCTTCAGAAAGCTGCACTGGTGGGCCACTCACCCTCCGCCCCTGCCCAGCCCCTCAGCTGTGCACTTCCTTGGGCAGAGACAGACAGACAGACGCTGGGCTGCCAAGTGGTCTATGGACCTGACAGGCTTGCAGGGAAGTGTGTGGAGGCTGTTTTTCTGTTCTCTTCGCTGAACTGTTAGCCAAAAAGGGAGGTGCAGCTCAGGGCTAGGTGTCACACAACTGCTGGGAGCCGCCCAGTCCCCCCTCCTGGAGACTGCCTTCCCCATAGCACTCAGCCCAGCCATGATGCCCGGCCTTCCTCCTGCCTCGAGGGGGAGGCCAAGAAGTGCGCCTTGGAGCACAGGCAGCAGAGGAGGCAGCTGTGGGAGGGAGGGGAAGGAAAGACACGTTTCTGAGCACGAAGGCTTCTGCCCAGTACCAGGCTTTCTGGATTAGATCCCAGCCTTTGTGCCTGTGACCTTGAGAGGCTTCTGAACCTCTCTGACCAGGGCCTCTGTTTCTTCAACAGAGATCATCGTAGAACCTGCCTTGTGTGTTTTGTGTCCAAGTGTTTGCTGTTAGGATGCTGCTGCTGATTCAGCCATCCCTTCTGTTCCTCTGTATGGTGAGACAGCAAAGCAGCGGGGGGGCCCCTATGCCAGAGGATCTGTCTGTGAACCCCAACTCTGCACTGGGGCTGTGTGACTATGAGCAGTTCTCTCGTCTCTGAGCTCCAGTTCCCCTTGTAGTACCTTGGGGACACTGCTTTCTTCCTTCCAGGCTTGTGCGCAGATTAAACATAACACAAGTGAGATGGCTGGCATGGTGACTGGTATCATGCATCCCACCCAGCTATTGAGCCCTACCTCTCTTTGGAGTTCACCTACAACTCTAGTCAGGATTTGGCTCAGCCAGTGTCTTTGCTCGGCTATACTGGGGGACCATAGAGGTGAAGTGGGCATATGAGACCCCCAGGGCTCTTCATGGTCGGCATGGGGAGGGAGAGAAGGGCACAAGACTCAGGCTCTGCCCTGCCCAAGAGCCTTCCAGCCTGAGAGGGCAGGGGGCCTGGTGCTGTCTTAGGGTGACAGTGCAATGGGTGCAGCTGGAGTCGACTAGGCAAGGAGCCATGCCTACTTCATGCACCAGCTCCTGTCATGGATGACAGATAGTCCATGGGAAGATGGTACCCAAGGGGTTGCTCATACAGCCAAGAAAGAGGTCTGGTGATAGCCAGACAGAAATGAGTACACGAACCCCGGGCCTTTGATCTCGTGAGCACACACTGAGGAATGCTAGGCATGGCTGCAGCCCACACAGTGCCCACGTTCCAGCACCCCAGCACACAGGAGGGAAGGGAGGAAGCGTTTGGCTTTCTTTCCCCTGCAGCAGCTTGTACTGTGTTTGGGCCCTGTAAGTATCCGTTGATGAACTAAGAGGAGAAAGACAGGACCAGGAGCAGGACCTAGGTTGTGAAATTTGGCTGAGCCACTGTTGAGACCCCTATGTGGTTTACTGTGGTGTTCCACCTCGTGGTACCAACCCAGCCCACTTCTGAGCTCACACCTACCGTTCCCCTCTTCAGTCAGTTCCTTAAACCGAACGCTTTCCTGCCTCAGCTCAGCTGCACTGGAGGACCAGGGAGATGAGGAAGGGCCAGTGAGAAGCCCAGGACCCATCCTGGGTGTCAGCTGTCGCCTCCATCCAGAACATTGTCTCCTAACTTTCTGTGTGGCTGGCTCTTCCTTATCCTTTCGCTGTCAGCCTTCCAGGCCTCTTGTGTGTTGAGTTCTCAGATCTTTGTACACTGCCCCTTTATTCTTCTTTCCTTCTTGGCACTTATTGACGGTACTCACCTATTTGTTTATTGCCAGTCTCCACAACTAGATGGATTGTGAGCTCCACCGGGCATCCCCAGAACCAGGCCTGGCACATGGCAGACACTCAGATATCTGAATGAGCAAGAAGCCTTGAAAGGGAGAGCACTGGTATGGTGAGAAGCTCTCACTTGACTGTTTTAGTGAATACAGAAAGCCAGGCTCTGGGGCCCTGAGACAGCCTCAGACAAAGATGGAGAGAGGAGCAAATCCCGTTCCTCCCAGTTCAAAGGCTCAGGCTTGGAGATCTCTGCTGGAGGTGGCGTCCTGACTGACTTTACCAGGCAGAGCTTTAAGTGTGTTCATCAGGAAAGTGGGGCTTGATCACACTTCTTTTTTGTTTTGTTTTGTTTCTTGAGTTGGAGCCTCACTCGTCGCCCAGGGTGAAGTGCGGTAGGTATGCTCACGGCCACCCCAGCGTCGACCTGCTGGGCTCCGGCAGTCCTTCCGCCTCAGCCTTCATGGAGCTGGAACTCCAAGTGCGTGCTGCCACACCTGTTATTTACTGTAGTGACAGGTCTCGCCAAGTTGTCCCGGCTGGTCTCAAACCCACGGACTCAGGCAATCCACTCGCCTTGGCCTCCCAAAGGGCTAGGATTACAGGCCGAGCCACCAGCTTCGGCCGAGGTGATGTTTTAAAACAGGTTTTATACTACTCGGAGGCTAATGAGGAGGATCTCTTGAGCCTAGGAGATCGAGTACAGCCTGGGCAACATAGTGAGACCGTGGCTCTAAAGTAAAAGATAAAACAGCTTCTGTATTTGGGTATATGTACTAGCCATGTAGCTAAGAAATTGTTTTCTAATGTCTAATCTTTAGCTGTTTTTAAATAATGCCTAGGTAGCTGCTGTAGGATTGGTCTTGTCACACCCCAGGCCGCTAGGAGTGAACAAGGGGAAAGAGGGTACAAGTTGTTGATCCTCTGGAGTGTCAAGAATGAGGCCATGATTGAGTGCCTACTACCCTTGGGTGTGCAGGGAATGTATTCCTATTCTTCCTGAAAACTGTTATCCGCCCTTGTGGTCATTCCTTGCTGCCTGAAAAGAGGCTGTGCTGGGCCCTAACACCAGCCCTGGGCAAATAGAGATGTATTTTGAATCCATTTCCTATGCTCTGGCCCAGAGTAGTAAGCTCGCTACTCCAGCTTAGTGGTGTACTTATTCTCCAGAGAAGAGGCATTCCAGAAAAAAGGAATGTGATGTGCAAAAGGCATGGGACCTGTTTAAAAAGAGTAGGGCCTGAATGAGGGCTGGTGGACATTTTCACACACTGTGAGGTACAAGGATGGGGAGGGATGGTGTCAGGGCAGCTGGACAGATGGGCTGCGATAGGAGGATTTCAGGGCCCAGGTTCTAGAGCAGACTTGATCCTATAGGCAGGAGGAGACAAATAGCTGTTTTGTAGAATAGGAATGACAGGCACTGCGTTTTAGAAAGAGAACTGACAACTAGTGAGGAAGTTAGACTGGAGAGCTAAGAAGCTGAGGGCTATTACAATGAATCCAGACAGATAAGGGGCAAGGTGCTAGACACGTACTGCAGACCACATGTGCCTTGAGCTTTGCAGTGAGAAATCCCATGCCTAGTGTGTAGGTCCAAAGAGATTGATCTCAGCATCAACTAGATGGTAATGGGGTCAGTGTCAATGGCAGCTTTCTCAGCAGCCTGCAGGAAAATGACTTAAGGATGTTGGGAGACTTGCACGTTCTGCTGGAGCCTCATCCTGGTATTGCTTGGAAATGATATCTTCTTCCTGACAGCCCCTTGGTGCTTTTGTGGCTCTCTCTGGCCTGCAGCAAGAATGCTGTAAAAGTAGGAGTGAGCTGCCTGTAGCATTGTTCCTGTTGTATGGTGTGTGCCTATTGCCCACATTCAACCAGGCAGCAGGTCCTGCTGTTTCCAATTTCCTAAACACATCAAACATTTGCCCTCTTGCCCCCTCCCTCAGCATAACCTCAAATGCTGGCCTCTCTTCCTGCTTCCAGTCTGTTCTCCACATAGCAAGTCACTCCTTTTCTTAAAACTCTCCTATGGCTCCCCAGTGCCCTTGGGCCTTCTTAAGAGTTTCTCATAGCCACTCTGAGGCCTCCCACACAAACAAGTGCTTAGCCTTTAGATGTCAGCATAAGAACTGCTTCTTGAATATGGCCCTGAGTCCACAAAACCTAGATCAGTGCTCCAGGCTCTAGCCAGCTGTTCTGGGGTTGTTACTTCCTCACCATTATTGTCTCCAATAGCAACATTGTGTGGACTTGTCTTTTGTTACCCAAATCACACAGTTGCAATTTTATGTCGGTGTGGCTTCTTATTGAACACTCTCTTCCTGCTATGAACCTCTGTGAGGACTGGGATCATTTTTATTTTTATTTTTTTTTTGAGTTGGAGTCTCACTCTGTCACCCAGACTGGAGTGCAGTGGCCGCTCCCAGCCACCGCAGCCTCGACCTGCTGGGCTCCGGCGATCCTTCTGCCTCAGCCTTCCAAGCAGCTGGAACTACAGGCGCGCGCTACCACACCCGGCTCATTTTGATTTATTGTAGAGATGAGGTCTCGCCAAGTTGCCCAGGGGAGTCTTGAATCCATGGGCTCAGGCAGTCCACTCACCTCAGCCTCCCAAAGCGCTGGGATTACAGGCTGAGCCACCGAGCCCATCTTGGGATTATTTCTGTTGATGGTTGCTGGGATATAGTAAATGCTTCATAGTTGTTTTTCATTGAATGAACTGACCACCATTTGATATGCTCATTCCAGATATGCAATTGGTTCATCAATGCCCGGCGGCGGTTGCTCCCAGACATGCTTCGGAAGGATGGCAAAGACCCGAATCAGTTCACCATCTCCCGCCGTGGGGGCAAGGCCTCAGATGTCGCCCTCCCCCGTGGCAGCAGCCCCTCGGTGCTGGCTGTGTCTGTGCCAGCCCCCACCAATGTGCTCTCCTTGTCCGTGTGCTCCGTGCCGCTCCACTCGGGCCAGGGGGAGAAGCCAGCGGCCCCCTTCCCACAGGGGGAGCTGGAGGCCCCCAAACCACTGGTGACCCCTGGTAGCACACTCACCCTGCTGACCAGGGCCGAGGCTGGGAGCCCCACAGGTGGACTCTTCAACACACCACCGCCCACACCCCCAGAGCAGGACAAAGAGGACTTTAGCAGCTTCCAGCTGCTGGTGGAGGTGGCACTACAGAGGGCTGCTGAGATGGAGCTTCAGAAGCAGCAGGACCCGGCACTCCCATTACTGCACACGCCCATCCCCCTAGTCTCTGAGAACCCCAAGTAGGCATCTGGCCACAGGGGTGCTTGAGGCTCGAGCCAGCTGTCCCGGGTTTCCGTTTTGGTTCCCTTCCACACAGAGGGTTTTCCATGGATCACTGCCAAATGTCGGGATCATCTCCTCTGTCCAGAGGTCTTCAGCAGGAAGGCGCCAGCTGGTGTCAACTGCACTGTGATGAGGGACCTCTCCTCTGCTGACTCTGCCGTTTCTCCAGGCCTCCCCTCAGTGAAGAGGCCAAGAGATTGGAGACAGGCATGGTGCTGCTGCTGCTGCTTCTCCAGAGCATCCCTGGGACACCTTTGTTCCAGCCTGGCTTCCTGGGCTGTGCTGGACTGGCCTCAGGAAACCTGCCAAGATCAGACCGATGTTGTATCCAAGTTGTCTCTGTCCAGCCAGGTGTGGACATTCCAAGTTCATAAGAGCATGAACAGAAGAGGAACCCAGCAGATGTAACAGAACCGACTCCAGTTGAATGTTTAGATGTGTGCTAAACTGTTCATTTTCCCCTTTTTGCTGTGGTTTGCATTAATGGCAGTAGTTAGCCCAGGTGTGAGGGATAAGAGTGCATTGGGTAGTAAGAGTCTGATGAACCAGCAATGACCCACCACTGCAAGTGGGAATGGTTTTCAAGGAAGGAATATTTTTGTTTTGAGGACCAGCTAAATCTCTGCAGTAGTGTGAAATTTCAAATGGTGATCTTACTGTTACTTTGGTTTACCCAAAAAAGGCAGGGAAAAACAAAAAAGTATGGGTGTTGGCCTTTCTGCATCAGCCATAGAAGGGTATAAAGCCACAGCCAGGGAGAGGTCCAACAGAATCTGACTTAACCTTCTAGGTGGCAAAGCAGAGAAGGATGATAAACCAGGAAGGTGTTTGGTTTCTTTATTTTGTTCTTACTATGGGGGGATGGGGTAAGCTAGACTGAAGCAGTGGATTTTTTTTCTTCTTTTCTTTAAAGTTTTTCCCTTTGTTCTTGAACACTTTTGCCCTGCAGCCTGAGTTTTGAGTTCCTTTAGGAACATGGATTGATGGGGCCAGAATGTCAAAAGCTGCCAGCGTCTCCATCTTGGAGAGAAGTGAGCCATCTGCTGGTCAGGAAGCCCTTTGAGCTAACTAGAACAGGCAGCTTTTCCCACAATAGTGGCAGAAAACTGTTCATGGAGGAAAGCAGGGAATAAGTGTCCATAGCCGCCGGAGGAGCTGCCTTCAGAGGTGGCTGGGGCTGGAAATGGGTTAAAAGCCTGTTAGCTGTGAGTGTCTGTTTCACCTTTAGAGTTGCAGGGGTTCCTGCCCTGAGCTTCCTGTGAAACAGATCACACTCAGTCTTACACTCTGCCTCCATTGTTTTCTTTTGCTGTTTCATCACGGACAGTGGTCGACAGCAGTATGCCCCATCTTTATAGATGCTAAGAAACACTAATCTTAGGTTATTATTAGCTGAAATGTTTTTGTTCTGAATAACATTAGTACTGGGCCAAAAGATGGATCAGGAGCCCAGCCTTCAGTTCCTGAAATTGCCAGACCAGGCACAAGAAAGGCTTCCTGGGTGTTGACTGACTTGGGCCTGGCCAGGGCAAAGGCAGCAGCATGTGTTCTGTCTTTTCTGGGAAGCTCCCCCTTCTGAGTGGTTTTGCCCACCTGTTGCTGTGGGAGGGAGTTTTGTCCTCTTGATGGCCAGTTTGATTAGGCTGTTTTGCCTCCCCCTGGCCTCTTCTGTGCCCTCTCCTGGTGTGCCCCAGGGGATCAGGGATCCTTACCCTCCTGAGGCCCAGCTGGGGAAGAATGAACATAGCTGCTTCAGGGCTGGTTGGAGCTGCTGTTTGCCCAGCTGTGTCTGTGAGCACAGCTATGGGGTAATTATCGCAGGATGCCTGTAGAGGACTCTGGAGGTGTGTTGGGCTATGGTGGGATTTTCCCTCCCCAGAGTGCACTGAGCAGTGGAGGTGGTGAGGGGTGAGGGAGCCATGCTGCTGAATTCTGGTTGGCGTTCCCCCCTTGTGTAAAATGGGGGTGTCCAGGGTGGGGCAGCCTGTTTAGGTTTGGTTGCAAGATAAACCTGGAGAAGCACAGTTGTCCCATTGAATTATTTGAGCAAAAAACTACTGTAAATAACTTTTGTTTTTGTCCTTTGTCAAATAAAGTTTTTTTGTTTTTTTTAAATGCAGAAACAGGGTTCCTGATTGAGGCCCCAGGGCTCTGGGATAGTCCCCACTCTTCCTCTAGCAGCCAGCTGGGAGTTTTGTGCACCCGGTACCCATTTCCACACCCCAACCCCATTCCATATCCCATTCAACACAGTGTAAAGGGGGCGTCACATCCCAAGCCAGGCCAGTTTTCTCTGGATCAACAGTTATGCCTGGGACTTGCTCAGTGAGGAAGGATCCTGACTGCAGTGAAACCAGCACAGACAGCAGCAGTTAGGAGATGGAGGCTCCAGTCCTGTCTGAAGCCACTGCCATCTCCAGATTCCCTGTTATGTAAGCTAGTAAATTCCCCTTTTTTGGTTAAGCTGTGAATGCATTTCTGCCCCACTGTAATGACAATACACTAATTGCAGCCCACAGTACAGAAACCAAGGTCTGCAACAGTAGTAAGCAGCAAGTTTTACAGGTGTGCCTCTATGTTCATTGCCTGTGCAATGTTAACATTATCTCTTAATTTTTATACACATACATACAAAAGCGAGCCAGGACTGCTTGAGCCAGGGAGTTCAAGGCTGCGTGGAGCCATGATCGTGCCATTAAACTCCAGCTTGGGCAACAGAGCAAGCTCCTGTTTCAGAAAAAAAAAAGAAAACTGAGTGAGAGGGGATTTAAGTTACTTGCCTGAATTTATACAGCCAACATAAATATGGAGCTAGGATCTGAAGTCAGGGCTGTCTTCAAGGTCACTCTGAGGTCTGCCCAGAACCCATCAGAACTAACGTAATGGTGGGCTGTTCACTACCTACTATATGACTGGTATGGGCCAAGTACAAGAAGTTTCCTCCATGAACCATATCTGCTTCTTGCTGATTTCTCCCTGATACACCTGGATAGAGGATGCCTAATCTCCCACAAGCGTGAAGAGGGAGCCTCTGCACTCAAGCTACCAGATGACACAGCCAGCCATCCAAGGTACTGATTTTCCTCACTTCTCTCTCAGCATCTCTCATATTGGACCCTTAGCCCTGAGACTGGGCCAAATAGGAAAGTGTTGGAATGGCTCTTAAAAATAAGTTTAATATTCAGTCAGTATCTGGAAAAAATACTAGTATTCCCCAAAGGGTTAGTCTAGGGAGAGATGGCTTCTTACAAATATGTGCTTTTTCAGGCCAGGGGCAGTGGCTCGTACCTGTAATCCTAGTGCTTTAGGAGACCAAGGCAGGAGGACGACTTGAGGACGACTTTGAGACGAGGCTGAGCAATATTGTGAGACTCTGTCTCTACAAAAAATTAGCTGGGTGAGGTGTTACACACCTATAGTTTTAGCTACTTGGGAAGCTGAGGTGGGAGGATCACTTGAGCCCAGGAGTTCAGGCTGCAGTAAGCTATGATGGCATCATTGCACTCCACTCTGGGTGACAGCAAGATCCTGTCTCCAAAAAAAGTAGTAATAAGTTTCTTTAACTTTAAAATACCTTTTCAAATAACTGAAAGCAAAAGTATCTTTTGCATCAAGCTTTAAGTTGATGAGCCCTGGAGTGAGCAATCACTCCAGATGACGAAAGCTAACTATGAGGGATAATGTGGCTAGGGCCCCTTCTCTAAAGCTGGGAATATGATCTAAGGACATTTGCCTTTCTTATCACGGCCTCATTTAGGAAATAGTTTTTTTTTTCCCCCCAAGCCAAACTGTATCCAGCTTTATTAAAGATACTTTTCATAAACAGTCATGGTATTTCAGGCAGGACATGGGCAGACAATCTTTTTTTTTTTTTTTTTTTGAGTTGGAGTCTCACTCTGTCGTCCAGACTGGAGTGCAGTGGCTGCTCCCGGCCACCGCAGTCTCAACCTGCTGGGCTCTGGCGATCCTTCTGCCTCAGCCTTCCAAGTTGCCAGAACTACAGGCGCGTGCTACCACGCCTGGCTGATTTTTGATTTATTGTGGAGATGAGGTCTCGCCAAATTGTCCAGGCGGGTCTCGAACCCGCGGTCTCAGGCAATTCACTCACCTCAGCCTCCCAAGGCACGGGATTACAGGCTAAGCCACTGAGCCCGGCTGGGCAGACAATCTTTAACAGTATACAACAACTTTCAAACTCCCTTCTTTAATGGACTACCAAAATCAGAAAGCCACTATGAAAACCCAATGAAGTCTTCATTTGATGCTCTGAACAGGGAAAGTTTAGAGAGAGGGTTGACATTTCACAATTAGCGTGTTGTTTGACAACTTTTCACAAGCTGACCCTGACTTTCAGGAAATGAAATGAAAATGGCAAAATCTGAAGATCCACAATCTATAAACAAAACTGCTGCTCTTATGAGAGGTGCCATCTCAATGGCATCACTGACATACTGGTAACCAATTATTGGGGGTCAGGTCCCAACAAATGTCTGGGTTTAAGGGAGTTTAGTCTATGCTGAAGGCAGAAAGGGAGAAAAGGACATAAAAATGAATGTTTGCCATACCACAAGATGTTTGTACCAAGGTGGCTATGTGTGTCACCGTCGGGGAATCCCTCCTCCTAGAAGCCAAGAGGAAGTCTCTTAAAACTAGAAGGGAAAGGTGTTTTCCCCACATCAATCCAGCTTTGGAGACATTCTATTAGTGACATATGCCCCTTTCCCAAAAAACAACAATGAAGTGTTCTGTGTGCTAACAACATAGCTTAAAAAAAATTCTGCATTTTTATAAAACTTGATAAGAAATAGTATTTCAAACTGTACAGTCACCAGACATACACAGTTATCAAAAATGCACACACTTCACTTGGCATGTCCAGCACCTTCAGCTTTCTGTGCCTGGTGTTTCGGCATCTCCATTTTCTGCAGAGTTATTCCCCTTGCCAGCATCGGCTTTTCCCTTTTTCCCTCTGGGTACTTTCTCTCCCTTCTTAGCCGGGGCTCTGGCTTTGGGGGAGCAGGTTTAGCCAACAATCTTGCAGATCTTCTCTGGGGTTCGTCCTTCACCTTGGCTTCATCTCCTTTAGCATCCCCTCAGACTTCCTCTTGGGCAGGGTGGTGATGGCAGCGGGGATGGAGCGGCGCGCGGGCTTTGGTCGGTGGGGGGGGTCGTTCTTGCCTCTTTTTCTTCACACTGCTCCAGGAAATAGCTTTTTTTTTGAGTTGGAGTCTCACTCTGTCACCCAGACTGGAGTGCAGTGGCCGCTCCCAGTCACCGCAACCTCAACCTGCTGCTGGGTTCCAGGATCTTTCCGCCTCAGCCTTCCAAGTAGCTGTAACTACAGGCGTGCGCTACCACATCCGGCTAATTTTTTTTTTTTTTTTTTTTTGAGTTGGAGTCTCACTCTGTCGCCCAAACTGGAGTGCAGTGGCCACTCCTGGCCACTGCAGCCTCAACCTGCTGGGCTCCGGCGATCCTTCTGCCTCAGCCTTCCACGTAGCTGGAACACAGGCGCGTGCTACCATGCCTGGCTAATCTTTTTGATTTATTGTAGAGATGAGGTCTCGTCTGCCCAGGCGGGTCTCGAACCCATGGGCTCAGGCAATCCACTCACCTCAGCCTCCCAAAGTGCTGGGATTACAGACTGAGCCACCGAGCCTGGCTTAGGAAATAGCTTTTTTTTTTTTGAGTTGGAGTCTCACTCTGTTGCCCAGACTGGAGTGCAGTGACCGCTCCCAGCCACCGCAGCCTTGACCTGCTGGGCTCCGGCAATCCTTCCGCCTCAGCCTTCCGAGTAGCTGGAATTATAGGCGCGCACTACCACGCTCGGCTAATTTTTGATTTTATTGTAGAGATGAGGTCTCGCCTGCCCAGGGGGGTCTCGAACCCGCGGGCTCAGGCAATCCACTCACCTCAGCCTCCCAAAGGCGTGGGATTACAGGCTGAGCCACTGAGCCCGGCGGACACTGAATTTTAAACGTACACTCTCACTTGAAAGCTGCTGCAGGAAGGTTCCCAAAGGGCAGAGGCCAGGCCTACCTTGGTATAGCTGTATCCACTATATTAAGCACAGAGCTGCATAGAGTAAGGTCTGGCATTTAGGAAGGAGGTGAAAATAATGACTCCTGTTGTCAGTGTTACTGATGGGGAAAGCACTTCTCCATTACCTAAGCCTGGGATCAAATTCTGGATCTAAGCCAGGCATGGTGGCTCATGCCTGTAATCCCAGTACTTTGGGATGTGGAGGCGAGAGGATCGCCTGAGCTTAGGGGTTCGAGACCAGTCTGAGCAACATGGCGAGACCTTAACTCTACAATAAGTCATAAAATTAGCTGGGCATGGTGGCACATGCCTGTTGTTCTAGCTTCTTAGAAGGCTGAAGCGGAAAGATCGCCTGAGTCCAGCAGGTTGAGGCTGCCATGGCTGGGAACTCTCACCTGGGCAACAGAGTGAGACTCCAACTCAAAAAAACAAAAACAAATTCTGGGTCTGTCACTGATTGGCTGTCATGACCATAGGCAAGTCAATTCACTACTCCAAACTTCAGTTTCTTCATCAAGATAATTTATATGTTACTGATGTTATCTATTACTATCTGGCCTCACCTGGCTCTTAGCACAGAGCTGAGGGAAAATCAGAAACCTTAAAACAACCCATACCACACAGTTGTTAAGTGGTAGAATTGGGACTACTTCCCACAGAGGAGTGATTTTCAAGCCTAACTACGCACCAGGATCATCAGGAGAGCTTAAAAAATTGCAGATTCCCATACCTCATTCCCAGAAGGTGCAGGCAGGAACCTGCACTCCTCACTGATGCCACAGGAGATTCTAGTGCTTCTGCTCCAGAGACCAGATCATCTTATCAGTACACTGACTTATCCTCAGGAAACTGGTAGGCTGGGAAAATAGCACCCTCATCTTTCAAAGCTGCAAGGCAAGAGGAAGAAGGGTTCCACCAAGCATCCTCCCCAAACCATGTGACCCCTTCCCCACCCCCAGGTGTCTATGGTGGCCTCAAGTGTAGCCTTCCTGAGATTTTCACTTTCTTTCTTTCTTTTTTTTTTTTTGAGTTGGAGTCTCACTGTGTCACCCAGGCTGGAGTGTAGTGGCACGCTCACGGCCACCGCAGCCTTGACCTGCTGGGTTCAAGCAGTTCTTCTGTCTCAGCCTTCCAAGTAACTGGAACCACAAGCATGTGCCACCACACCAGTTAATTTTTTGATTTGTTGTAGAGACAAAGTCTCGCCATGTTGCTCAGGCTGGTCTCAAACCCCTGGACTCAGGCAGTCCTCTCACCTCTGCTTCCCAAAGTGCTGGGATTACAGGCGTGAGCCACCACACCCAGCCAGAAATTTTCACTTTCATTACCAAAATAATTCACATTCACTGGAGAAAAATTCAAAATGAAGGTAAAAATGGAGGCATTTAGTATTATGGATTAGATCCCAGTCAACTTTTGGATGAAACAAATGTATGTAAATCATTTAGCAAAGTGACTGGTACCTCCTAAGAGCTCATTAGATCCAAATATAACATTTATCGTAGGTGGAAAAAAAAAAAGACCAGAATACAAACTCAGGCCTCTACTTCACAACAGGTGCTCTTCCCATGGCTGGTGTTTTTTCCCCAGAACTTCTGATATCTGTGATCCATCAGTGTCTGTCTGGGGCCACAATCTTACCCCTCAGAACATACCTTTCTCTCTAAATCCTATTACAAGCAGCTGGCAGTGCTACAGAAGCATTCAGCTGGGAGGAAATACTCATCCCTAAGGCTGAGATCATGTGTTCAACCAGTGCTAAAAAGCTCCAACCTCACAAAGACAAAATTTGTCCAACTTCCAAATCTGGCTCTTCATCAAGTTCTTTTCCATCTTAGGCCACCCAAGATGTTTATTTTAACCAGATGGATGCACTGGGATTCAGCCAGATTCCCCACTTCTGAAGATAAGGAAAGCCTTGGGTGAAAGCAGAAAGGGAACAAGTCTAAGTCCCATAAATACCTTCTAGGCAAACGCTTCCACTCTGGCTGCCAGCTTGGCTTTGTCTGATCCTAGAAAGGTAAGAGGAGGAACACAGATCAGATTTCAGATGCCTGTTGAACCTCTAACTTTTTGTGTGAGCTTGGGCTGTACTGCAGGTTGTGACGACCCTTCCAACTATAACTTTCTGTGGCCTCTTTGCCCTCATGTAAACAAAAACTTATGGAATCTTAGAGTTCAGATCAGAGCTTCATAATATAATACAAATATGATGAGGAAAAAAATCAGTGCCTTTTTTTCAGGGAGGTCAGGGTCTCACTTTTGCTCAGACTGGAGTGCAGTGATGCAATCATAGGTCACTATAGGCACGTGCTACCACACTCAATACAGATGATGTAATCTTATATGTAGAAAACCCTAAAGAGCCCACCAAAAACTATTAGAACTAATAAATGGCTGGGCATGGTGGCTCATGCCTGTAATCCCAGCACTTTGAGAGGTGGAGGTGAGGATTGCCTGAGTCCAGGAGTTTGAGACCAGCTTGGGCGCCTTGGAGAGACATTGTCTACAATTAATAAAAAAAAAACAAGCTGAGCATGAAAAAAGAAAAGATATCCCATGGTTATGAAGACTTAATATTGTTAGAAATTTGGTAGGGCGTGGTAGGTCACACCTATAATCTCAGCACTTTGGAAAGACAAGGCAGGAGGATTGCTTGAGTCCAAGAGTTGAAGACCAGTCTAAACAATATAGTGAGACCTCATTTCTACAAAAAATTTTTAAGAATTAGCCAGGTGTGGTGGCATACACCTATAGTCCCAGCTGTAGTCCCAGCTACTTGGGAGGCTGAGGCAGAAGGACAACCTGAGCCCAGGCGGCTGGGGTTGTAGTAATCTGTGATCATGCCACTACACTCTACCCTGGGTGATAGCATGAAACCCTGACTCAAAAAATAAGTAAATGAATAAATAAATTTAAGAAGTTAATACTACCTAAAGCAAGCAGCAGATTCATTGTGATCCTTATCAAAATCCTAATGGCTTTTTTTTTTTGCAGGAATAGGAAAATTCATCTAAAATGTATACAGAATTTTTTTTTTTTTTTGAGTTGGAGTCTCCCTCTGTTGCCCAGACTGGAGTGCAGTGGCCGCTCCCAGCCACCGCAGCCTCGACCTGCTGGGCTCCGGCGATCCTTCCGCCTCAGCCTTCCAAGTAGCCGGAATTACAGACATGTGCTACCACGCCCGGCTAATTTTTTTGATTTATTGTAGAAATGAGGTCTCGCTGCCCAGGCAGGTCTCGAACCCGCGGGCTCAGGCAATCCACTCACCTCAGCCTCCCAAAGGCGCGGGATTACAGGTTGAGCCACCAAGCCCAGCTGGAATTTTTTTAAAGAGATGGGGGTTTCACCATGTTGCCCAGGCTGGCCTTGAACTCCTGGCCTCAAGCAGTCATCCTGCCTCAGCTCCCCAAAGTGCTGGTATTACAGGCATGAGCCACCAAGCCTGGGACCCCGAATCATCAAAACAATCATGAAAAATAACAAAGTTTGAGATTCACAATTCCTGATTTCAAAACTCACTACAAAGCTACAGTAATCTAAACAGTGTGGTGCTGGCATAAAGACAGACTACAGACCAAAGAATAGAACAGAGAGTCCCCAAATAACCTCTCACATATATGGTAAAAGATTTTCAAGAAGGGTGCCAATACCATTCAACGGGGCAAGGATAGTCCTTTCAACAAACAGTGCTGGGAAAACTGGATATCAACATGCAAAAGAATGAAACTGAATGCTTACCTACCGCCATATTAAAAAGCTAACTCATGTTGGGTGCCTGGAGTCCCAGCTATGTGGGAGGATCATTTCAGCCGAGTTCGAGAACAGCCTAGACAACAGAGCAAGACCCCGACTCTAAAAAGAATAAATAAATTAATTAAAAAATAAACTCAAAATGGATCAAAGACATAAGAGAAAACTTCATGACAATGGACTTGGCAATGATTTCTTGGATATGACACCAAAGCAACAGGCAAAAGTAAAAAATAGAGAATTGGACTTTATGAAAATTAAACTTTTATGCACCAAAGGACACTCAACAGAGTAAAAAGATAATCCACAGAATGAGAAAAAAATCTGCATATCACATATATGATAAGGGATTAATATACAGAATAGAGAGATTTTAAAACTCAACAACAAAAAAACAAACAACCAAACAAAAAAATTTTGGGGTGGTTGGCATGAAAGCAAAGGCAAAGCTAAGGTCTTGAACAGACATTTTGCCAAAGATCATCAATAAGCACATGAATAGATGCTCAATCATTACTAATCATTGGAAAATGCAAATCAAAACCACAGTGAAATACTACTTTTCATCCAGTAGGATGACTACAGAAAAAAATCAAGTAATCTTGGAACCCCTGTGCACTACTGGTAGAAGTGTAAAATGTGCTGCTTTTATGGAAAACAGTATAGCAATTCCTCAAAAAATTAAAAAATACAGGTTATTTTAAAGTCAAGGGAAAAAAAATGAAGAATTACAATACCATCTGATCCAGCAATCCTGCTTGTGAGAATATACCCAAAACAACGAATGCAGGGACACTGACAGATGTTGATATTCAGAAAGTAAAAAGCAGCACGAGTGTCCAGCGATGGACGAAGGGGTAGGCCAAGCACGGCATATACATACAACAGCCTTAAAAAGGAAGGAAACTCCAACGTGTGCTACAACACATCTGTGTTACGCTAAGTGAAACAAACCGGTCACAAACGGACAAAAGTGTACTCATATGAGGGACCCATCAGAGCACTCAAATTCATAGAGAGACAGAGAGTAGAATTGTGGTTGCCAGGGGCTAAGGAAATGGGAGAATAAGGAGTTATTGTGTGGTGGGTGCAGAGGTTCAGTTTTGCAAGATAAGAAGTTCTGAAATGGATGGTGGTGATGTCTGCACAGCACTGCGAGTGTACATAATACTACTGAACTGTACTTACCTGTTAACATGGCAAACTTTGTTAGGTGCATTTTACTGCAAGTAAAAAATATATATAAATATATATTTTAGTCAGTGTCTCACTCTGTCGCCCAGGCTGGAGTGCAGCAGCACGCTCATGGCCACCGCAGCCTCCACCTGCTGGGCTCAGGTGATCCTTCCACCTTAGCCTTCCAAGTAGCTGGAACCACAGATGCGCACCACCATGGCTGCTAATTTTTAATTTATTGTGGAGACAAGGTCTCACCCCGTTACCCAGACTGGTCTTGAACCCCTGGGCTCTGGCAATCCTCTTGCCTCTGCCTTCCAAAGTGCTGGGATTATAGGCATGAGCCACCACGCCGGGTCAAAAATATTTTGAATTTAAAAAAAGAACTCCCTTCTAACCCAATCTTGCTCCATATTCAGTCCCCCCCAACTCTTTCCTAAATGATTTCAGTCTTTTGTCTAGTCTCCCATTCTGATTCAGACCCCCTAGTTGCAGCACATGACCTAAGACACAAACCTGACCACTTCCCCACATTTCCCCAACTCTTCAGCATGAGTCCCCCTCCTTCTCCTCTTGTGGCGTCAGGGTTTCATCTCCCAGAACGTCCTCACCTTCCCCTCCTCCTTCTTCCAGCCCCTTCTTGATTCCCCATTACACATCTTCACCACGAGGAGATACAGGACAGTGAAAATTCCACCGTAGGCCAAGGGCTTGGTATACTCCCAGCACCCTATGGCAGAATGATCAGCTTGTCTCCCGAGCTGTATGCCACCAGGAAGTCTGTAAGAGGGGTCCTGAATCAATAGCACTCTTCCAAACTGGAGTTGGGTGGGCTTTGCCACTGCATAGGGGAGGGAAGCTGGTTCAGATGAGGGGCAGGGGCCAGGGGCATAGCCCACACCTGGAATCACAGTGCTTTGGGAAACCAAGAGTTCAAGACCAGCTTGGGCAATAGTGAGACTCTGTCTCTATAAAAAATAAAAATAAAAAAATTCACTAGACATGGTGGTGCACACTCGTAGTCCCAGCTATTTGGGAGGCTGAGATGGTCGGAAGGCTTGAGCCCAGGAGTTCCAAGCTGCGGTGAACTATGATTGTGCCACTGCACTCCAGCCTAGGCGGGTGACAGAGTGGGTGAAAGCCTGTCTCAAAAAGAGAAAAAAGAAAATAAGCAGGGTTGAAAAGAACAAGAGTCACGAGAAGTTAGGACTAAAGATGACCACATCAGGTGATCACGTGAAGGATCTCTCCACCAATTCCAGACCAGTCATCTGCTGCAGTGTGTCGGTCACCTTTGGGGTCCTCACTCCACCTAAACAACCTTGGGGTGGGAAACAGTTATTGCATTCTGGAAAGACCCCTAGGAGACTCTGTTGCTCACCTGAAATGAAGAGCCACAGGTGAATGTTGATAAGGTTATGCTCCGACCTCACCGTTTTGTTTTAAAGTCGGAGTCTCACTCTGTCGCCCAGGCGGGAGCGCAGTGGCAGGATCACGCTCACCGCAGCCTCGGCCTCCCGGGCTCAGACGGTGCTCCCGCCTCAGCCTTCCAAGTAGCTGGAACTCCAGGCGCGCGCCACCACGCCCGGCTAATTTTTTGATTTACTGTAGAGAGGAGGTCTCGCCATGTTGTCCCGGCTGGTCTCGAACTCCTGGGCTCAGGCAATCCTCTCGCGTCGGCCCTGGGATCCCCGCTCCGTCCACAGCCGCGCGCGGCATCCCTCAGGCGTGGGGACCCTGCAGCCCCCATCTCCAGAATCCCGGTCAGAAGGCCTGGGTGGGGCCCGAGGCTCGGCACCCTCCCCAGCGCCCGGCCGAGGCGTCCGTGTTCGCCAAGGCGAATCCTCAGCCCTCCGACGCCTAGGACAGTCGCCCCTATTCTCCCCAGGAGTCCTCGGTTGGCCCCACTGGCTTTACGGCCGCTCCTGGGTCTCAGGGCTCGCCTTTGCCCGAAGAGGGAGCTGGGCCGGAAGAGGCGCGCAGGCTGTTAGAGGGAGCGGAGATCTTGGACGAGGCCCCGCGGACATCGCAGGTGCGGCGGGGACACAGCGGCTGAGTCCCGCGGGCGCGAGGTCGGGATCCGAGGCGAGGAGTGGGCAGGGCCGCCTCGGGAGAGGCAGAGCCGTTTCTGCTTGGCTGCTCAAGGGGCCGCCGTCCTCACCTTACGGGGCTCAGTCTCCACCGCGCCCCCTCGCGTTCCCGCCGCCGTTCCCGCCAAGATTGTCCCAGCCCTCTCGCCGTACCGCGCGCCTGGCGGAAGCGTGCCGTCACTTCCGCCGCGCGTAGGGCGCTCGCACCGCGGCGACGGCTGCTCTCTACGCGGAAGACTGTGCGTTCGCCGATTGGCTTCGCGGGCACGTCGGCGGGAGGCCGCTGCCCTCCTTCCACGGCGCCTGCTCGGGGAGCGCCGGGGCCGAGCGGCTTGGCTGAGGGCGAGGAGCTGCGGCTCGCCGCGGGACTGGCCTGCTGTGCCTGCCGCGGTAGCCGCCCCGCGCGCCGTGACCCGTGTCCCCAGACCCCGCCTCCTTCTGGCTCAGCCCGCGCGCCCCAGGCCTGGCCCGGGCGGCGCGACGGGAGGATGAGCGGCGGACGGCGGAAGGAGGAGCCGCCTCAGCCGCAGCTGGCCAACGGGGCTCTCCGAGTCTCTGTCTGGAGCAAGGTGCTGCGGAGCGACGCGGCCTGGGAG